CAAGGGGCGCGGGACGCGGCCAGGGGCTGCGGTGCCGCGGGAGAGGGGGTTTCAGGAGGGTTTCGGCAGGTTTGGGCAAAGGGTGGCTGCTTGGTAGGAAGCAGGGGGTGGCTCAGGACCCCGGGATGGGGACCTGCGTGTCCTGCCCCACCGTTCCCATGGCCCTGGGTGCTCTCTCCTCTGTGGTGCCCCTTGGCAAAGGGACAGGGATGAAGGATGCAAGGGAACATGGGGGCTCGTCCTCTCCCCACCATGAGCCTGCCCCAGCAGCTCTCACCATCGCTCCTGGTGATGAGCAGCAGCTCCTCCTTTCTCCCTCCATCACCCCTAAACCAAGCAGCCTTAAAGCCCGGCCTTTTCAGCAGCTTTGGGGCAGTGAAGACGTGCGGCAGCACCAAGATGGGCTCAGATGTGCAGCAACGCTGCGAGGGGCTTGAGCAGCCACAGAAATTGTGTCCTCCTGTCCCGTCCCCACGTCCTGCCAGGCTCCGACGGCTGCTTTTGGGGTCCCCATCAGGCCCAGAGGGACAGAAGGCAGCATGCATGGAGGGCTTGGGCAAAAAAAGCCTGAAGCTCAGTCCAGCACTTCCCAGAGCCACGGCTTGGGATTCCCCAAGGGAAAAGGGCTGGAACCAGCCTGGCTGTGGCTCGGGTACCGCACCCCAGTTTGCCCCAGCGCGGTGGCAGTGATGGGACATGGCCATGTAGGGGTCAGTGCCCCTCTGCCCTTTCAAGCCATCGATCTGGCCATGCTGGGCTCTTGAAAATTTGGATAACGGCAGGGGCAGGGGTCCGAGCCGGTGCGTACGGAGATGTCCCACAGGTGGTTTTGCCGTGAGAAGCAGGGCTGGCACAGCTGGGGCGGGCGGGACGTGGGTAAATGCTGTTGAGAGAGAGCAGATGGGGAGAGGGATGCCCTTGCCTCCTGCCCATGAGGTGCAGCGGCCAGGAGACACCAGGGAAGGCACAGAGCAAATAAATCCTGGCAGCAAGGAGGTGGAGGACTTGGGGGTGGAAGAAGAGGAGCAGGAGGAGGAGGAGGAGGGATCTGCTGGGACATGGGGAGCATCTCCCCGTGGAGGCAGGCGTGCTGGGTTGGTGCATTGCCTTGGTGGGCACCCTGCTGTGGTGCTGCTCTGCCCAGGCTCTTTGGGGGGCTGCTTCGGGGGCGGGGGATGAGGACCCAACCCCAGGAGATGCTGAACCACTTTGGGTCACATCAGTTGGCCCGTTTGGGGTGTTTTCTCTTTACGCCTTTCACCACCAGCGCGGGGCTGAGACCTGCCCCGCTCACTCCACCTCCGCAGGGGTGGCTGGAGGGGCTCAGCTCTCAGTACCCCCCAAAATGCCCGCGTTCCCTCGCCGTGCCCAGAAACACCCCACAGCACCCTGACCGAGCAGCTCTGCCACTTAATGAGGTTAATGACAGTGCTTCGTTAGGGAAAGGCAGCTGATGAGTTTGCACTGGCACTGGAAGGCGCATTTCCAGGCGTGCTGGCAGCCCAGCAGATTTGGGGCACAGGGAAGGGGAAACAGAGAAAAGGGAAAGCGGCGGCGGCGAAGTGCTAATCCCTGGAAAGGAGGGCAGCCGGGGCACCGCGCCGCGCAAGGTCGGTGTTAATCCCTCATCTGCGAAGATTGTGCCCGCAGCCGCCTTAATCTCCGCTCCGGGAGGACGATGCTGGGGATGGGGACAGGAGGACCAGTCCCTACGTGCGGTGCTGAGCGTCCCCCGTCCCGTGGGACCTCGGCGAGCCCGAGGCCTGGGAAGGATTTGTGCCACCGGGTGAGACCTCACAGCAGCTGCACAGCGAGCAGAGGGGATGTGGCATCCCACCTGTGTCACGAGTTTGCAAGGCCTCTGGCTGCATCTCTTTGCTCCTGTGCTGCCCTGGGTGGGGGGGGGTCTGTGTCCCCGTTATCCCCGGGTGCTCATGCTTGCGGTCCCCTCTGCCTGTGCGTGCACCATCAGCGGCACGGAGGGGGTGTGAGCCGGCATGGGGGCAGGGGCTGAGCTCTGAGCCTGCAGCTAACTGTGTCTCCTTTCACAAAGATCTCCCCCTGCCTCAGTTTCCCTGCTCTCCTGACAGTCCATGCAGGCAGTGAGGCTTGTTTAGCCCAGGTTTGCATAGGGCACGGTCACCGGGTCACACGATAGGTGCTGAGAAGGGGGTCTGGAGGATTTCCTGAGGGGCTGGGACCTTATCAGGGCCATGGGCCACGGTTTGGGGAGCGTTTTCCAGTCTCAGCCTGCAGACGGGTGATTTGGGGCTGGGTCGGACTTTGTAAGGCTCTGCTGGACTCGCCGCTGACTCCGCATCTCGCTCTCTTCCAGGCGCATGGGAGTATGGTAGCGAGCCCGTAAGACCATGCTCCACACAATGACATGTTGGCTCCCGGTCCTGGTCCTCCATTTGGTCCTCCTGAGCCCCCCGCGCGTGGCAGCCTGCCCTGCCCGCTGCGAGTGTGCCCCGCAGATCAAGTCGGTGGTGTGTCACCGCAAGCGGCTCACCTCCATCCCCGAGGGCATCCCCACCGAGACCAAGATCCTGGAGCTCAACAAGAACCGCATCCGCTGCCTGAACCCGGGGGACCTCTCCCCGTACCCACTGCTGGAGGAGCTGGATTTCAGCGAGAACATCATCTCCAATGTGGAGCCAGGCGCCTTCAGCAACCTGTTCAACCTGCAGACCTTGCGGCTGCGGGGGAACCAGCTCAAGCTCATCCCCCCGGGGGTCTTCACCAAGCTGACCAACCTCACCCTCCTGGACATCAGCGAGAACAAACTCGTCATCCTGCTGGACTACATGTTCCAGGACCTGCGAAACCTGAAGAGCCTGGAGGTGGGTGATAACGACTTGGTGTACATCTCCCAACGGGCCTTCTCGGGGCTTCTTGGCCTGGAGCAGCTGACCATCGAGAAGTGCAACCTGACCTCCATCTCGGCCGAGTCACTCTCCTACCTCCAGAACCTGGAGGTACTACGGCTCCGGCACCTCAGCATCTCCACGCTGGAGGACCAAAACTTCAAGAAGCTCTACAACCTGCTGCAGCTGGAGATCGACAACTGGCCGCTGCTGGAAGATGTCTCCCCCACCAGCTTCCAGGGCCTGAACCTCACCTCACTCTCCATCACCTACACCAACATCACAGCCGTGCCCGCCGCTGCCTTGAGGAACCTGGTGTACCTTCGGTACCTGAACCTGTCCTACAACCCCATTAGCACTGTGCTGAAGGGCTCCTTTAAAGACCTCATCCGGCTCCAGGAGCTCCACATCGTGGGTGCTCTCTTGATGTCTGTGGAGCCGCAGGCTTTCTCCGGCCTGAGACAAATCCGGCTGCTCAATCTCTCCAGCAACTTTCTCTCCACACTGGAGGAGAGCACCTTCCACTCTGTCAACACACTGGAGACGCTGCGGGTGGACAGGAACCCCCTGGCCTGCGACTGCCGCCTGCTCTGGATCCTGCAGCGAAGGAAGACGCTCAACTTCGATGGGCAGCAGCCCATGTGCTCCTCGCCACCCGAAATCCAGGGCAATGCCCTGCGCGACTTCCCGGACTCCGTGCTCTTCGAGTACTTCACCTGCCAGAAGCCCAAGATAAAGGATCGGAAGCTGCAGCACGTGACGGCCCGGGAAGGGCAGTCCGTGTCCTTCCTTTGCCGGGCGGACGGGGAGCCGGACCCCTCCATCGCCTGGGTGTCCCCCCCGCACCGCATGATC